GCCTGTTGTGTAATATTCAATTCACTGGAAAACCTTCTCTGGCAGATTTCTTAAAAGAAGCAGCTGACTAAGGGAAGAAGCCATCTTCCTTTCAAAGAAGTCATGTTTCCTTTCAAGTTCATGGAAAAAAGCCAAAGTGCAGAAGAGCTATGAATCCGTTCTGGTTTTTACATACTTAGGACTGGAGGGCCATTAGTTTAAAAGTGTTGCTTAGAAATCACCATCATTTGTACATGGAGTTTACAGGTCTCATACAAATGCCTGCATGTGTTAGAAGCGTCTTGCTGTTCTTCTGATAATTACTATGAGTTTATATATTAAAATAATTATATTTCCTTTGGTATAAACACACGGTAGAACATTTTATGACTATGCTTTTGCTGTAGTGGGATTGCCACTTTATGTTGGTTCTACCCAGCCGGGCAGCTGAACTCCACCACAGCCGCTCTCTCACTCCCCCTCATCAAAGGGAAGAAGGGAAAAAATACGATGGAAAGGGCTCAAGGGTTGAGATAAGGACAGGGAGATCACTCATCAGTTATCATCATGGGCAAAACAGACTCAGCATAGGGAGGTTAATATAATTTATTAACTATCACAAGCAGACTAGAGCAGAGAGAAACTAACAGCGAACTAAAATCACCTTCCCCTCACCCTGCTTCTTCCCAGGCTCAGCTTCAATCTCAGCTCTTCCATGTAAATGCAATGCACACTTGTGAATTTTTTGTTTGTTTCCTTGTATCCTCTAATCCTCATGATTTGAGGCTATTGGTGATAATTGTAACAGGATCATTTTGTTGTTTCTTTTCCCAGTTCAAGTTCTTTATTTGTTCTGTTCACATACTGTGAAACTGGATTATAATTTCTGAGATTAGGATTATTTTTTGTTGTGTGTTCATATACCATTTGTGGAGCGAGCTTCCAGTGGAGACTGCTACTTGGAGCTTCCTAAAGAATTTTCAAAAAACATTTAGACCGGGGCCAAGAACCTAGTGGTAGTTTAAAGTATTCTTTAGTTATTTTCCTAGAACTGTTAATAGAATACGATGTTCTGACTGTTCATATTTCAGGCAAGATGTTTAAAAGTCAAAAGACGAGGGAGAAGAGTAATGAATTATTGAAGGACTAGATAAAATATGCCACACTAAAAAACTTAAGATCAAATTATTTGCCTAATGAAAGAGCGAATTAACGATAATTGTAATCAGCTATTAATATCACCACTATGAACATAAATTTCATAATGGAAAACATTTCTGTCTAACGATGTTATAAAAAGATCCAAGAGATGGAAAAGGAAATGAGATAAAATCAGGCAAAAAACCCAAGGATTTTTTTCAGAACAGAGATAATTAATTATTGGAACAACTTTATTGTAATTGTGGTAAAACATCATAAATTTTAAAAACCGAGAAAAGATGTCTTACTAAATATTATTCTCAAGTTCAGTCACAGCCTTAAAGTTGAAGTAAGAATTAATTCAGAGAGTTCTGAGCAGATGGTTAGGTTGGACCTCAGAGTTACAGAAGTTATTTCATATCTTTTGATTGAGAAATACAGAACAGACACCTAACTTCCTAGTCTTTTATAATTCTAATACTGCAATGAAGTTTATGATTTTACATTAACCTCAGAGCCCCTAGGATTGGATCACTAAATTGAGGTGGTGTAAAAAATCAGATGACTAAATAAATAAACAAAATTTCTTTCTTTCTACCAGAAAAACTTGCATTGGGAGGTGGCAAAGATTCATTCTCCAATCCAAAAAACTAATAATTTTCTTTTTCTTTTCTTTTTTTTTTTCTTGAATTTCTTTTCCCTTTAAATAGTTAAATCGATTTTCTTACTCACCTGAATGACATTTCTAAAACTATTTGCTTGTTGGCCGTATTAAGATTTTAGCTTTACACAGCTGTTAGTGGGGAAACTAGGCCAGGAGGGGAACTAATTAATTAGCAGCTATGCTATTAGTTGTAAGTCACCGGATTATAGAAATAACCTGTTCTGTTTAAAAAAGCTATACAGCTATACTTTGTTGGCAAAAGGGATTTAAGAAGATGATGTTTTGTTTAGCTGAAAAGTGTAGACTGATGATTTTTAGAGGCCAGTATTTCAATGTCATCCATAAGATAAAATTTGACAATTAAGTAATTTGTTATGCTACTTTAATATAACAGAGCTGTTTAAGTAGCCCTTAGAAAAAAAGTAAACAGACCAAAAAACTGAAGCCTCATGTAAGAAAAGTCATTAAAAGTATTTTAAAGAAAAGTTAGCTTTGCCACTGAATTCAATCTTTTGAGTTTTTTAACAATTTTGTTCTGAAGGCAGCAGCATAGCAGGCATTCTGTCAGGCCTCCTCTGGTCTCAGTCTGATTTAATCATCAAGATACTGCATATTTATCTTCTTTCACTGATAGGCTTCTGTCATGCATTTTAAATCAAGTCCAAAAGATTTCCCAAGTGTAACTGGTTATTGTTTTAAGTGGAATATTGTTTACTGAAAAAAAATGCAGTTTTGAAGGGACTGAAGCTATTTATAAGTTTATATTTTACTGTTTGAAAAAATTAACTGACATTTAGCCATGATTTTAAGACATTAAAAAATTTCCTTTGAAGTAACATTTTTCTTCTAATTCATACATAGAACTATTTCTAATGGAACTATAAAACCTAACAACCCAAGATATGAAATGTGATATAAGCATGGAATAATTTAGGTGGAGGGAACCTCTGTGTTACTGAGCCTCCAACTCCTCTGCTGTTTTAGTTCAGTCTTCTGACCAAAGCAGCCTTCACAGGTTAGATCACCTAACCTTCACAGTTAGGTCAGGTTGATCAGGGCCTTTCCCAAATCAGATTTGAAACTCTGTAGTGGCTCTCTGGGTGAACCATTCCAGAGCTTAATCACTCATTCTGGGAGGCTTGTTTCCTTATACCCCATCGTAATTTCCTTTATTGTAAATGGTGACAGAAACATCTTGTCTTTTTTATGTTTTCTGTGAACTGTCTGGCTTTGTCTTCTACAGTGCTGTTCAGGTAGTAGAGAGTGGTGGTGTCAGTAGATCTTCCCTTATCCTCTCCAAGCTGAGCGCACCAAGCTTATGACACATGTCAGATGTTCCAGCCTACAGATTATTTTTCATAGTATCCAGTGAGCTAGCCAGCAGACCTTTACATTAAAGCCTGAAGTGCAGAGGCTATTCTCTCTTACGTGTTCAGCCAAGCATTATAAAAGCAGTGTATGCAATTTCTTGATCGGTGAAATTCAGGTCTTCAAAGCATTATCTTGAGGCTTAGATTTGTGTGGAATATGCTTGAGGATTGCACCCTTGGGTGATGAACAGCCTCATGTTTGAGGATTGCATGTTCAGGGAATGGGCAATTGAACAGAAGAGCAAACAGCCTTTATCGTATGAACTGTGCATAGACAGTGAGGGTCATACATTTTAAATCCATATTGATTTTTTGATTCTCTGTGGTATGAGTCCCTGTACTGTCCCTCAAGTGAATGTTATGTTCTGAAATTGCTGAGAGCATTTTGATTGGGTTTGTCAAGTTTAGAGTTGTTTGCTTCCTACTCCTGCAAGAGGGATTTATTCAAGAGTGGACTCTGTCTTAATTTCATTATTTTGTAAAGTCCAGAACAATGCAAGGAGGGACAGGGCCTTGCTGACCTTACTGTCTTTGCCAGTTTTCTTTTCAGGACCCTCTCCAGCTATCCACCAAGTCTTTGGCACATCTGACTCTCATTGCAGAAATCTTCTTCCAGATCCACAGCCACATTATTCATAAAAACAGAGAATCATGTAGGTTGGAAAAGAGCTTCAGTATCATCAAGTCCAACGATCAACCTGACCACTGAGTCCCATCACTAAACCATGTCCCTTAGTGCCACGTCCATATGTCTCTTAAATAACTCAGGGACTGGGACTCCACCACTTCTTTGGGCAGCCCGTTCCAATGCTTGACCAATGCTCCATGAAGAAATTCTTCCTAATATCCAGTCTAAACCTCCCCTGGTGCAACCCATAACGGTTTTTTCATGCCCTATCACTTACCACCTAAGTAAACAGATAGACGCTGCCCTTGCTGCAACCTGGGGAAGAGAAGGCTCACATCTTATTCATGTGTATAAATACCTGATGGAAGGGAGTAAAGAAGACAGAGTCAGACTATTCTCAGCTGTACTCAGTGAAAGGACAGGAGACAATGTGTGGTAAAATTTTGTTTCGACATATAATTTTATTTTATTTTATTTTATTTTTTACTATGTACACTGGAATGGGTTGCCCTGAGAGCTTGTGGAGTCTCCACACTTGGATGTATTCAAAACCTGACTGGACAACCTACTTGAGCTGATCTGTCTTTGACAAGGAAGATTGAACTAGACAATTTTTCCCCAAGTTCCTTCCAACCTCAAGTATTCTATGATTTTTGTCTGTTTTATTTAGCCATTAATTTTGTTCTTCTCTGAACGGCTCTCTGAAAGTCAGCTGTAACTGCAAATGCAAACTGTACATGCAAACTGCATTTACTGTTTCAAGAAGTATTACATCAGAAAATTATCAGTTTATGAAGGTGTCAAGTCAGAGGTTTGTCAAGAGGGTTGTGAGTACCCCTAAAGGGACTCTTGACAAGTCGATCCTCTGAGCTCACATCTTTCAATTTAAATGATAACTTTGGCAGCAGAAAGTACCTACGTTACAGCTGCCTGTGTTCTTCATGTTCCTCTTTGTCTTCCGTGTATGTAGAAGCAGGCCCCACATGATGAAAAATCCCCTTACTCTCCTTCAAGCTCGCCCTAATCTGAGCATTTAAAGGATTTCAATAACCTTTTTTTTTTTTTTTTCCTGCCTGGTGATTAAGGGGTCACCCAGGCCGACTTAATACTTAAATCTGCACATACTAGGAAATATCTTGATCAATATCTTTGCATATGTGCATCTGACTCTATTGGACAGAGCATGAGAGACGCAATTTAGTAAGTACTCTTTACTTACCTGCTGTGCCTCAGGTAGCTTTGCAAGTTACAGTGTACTCATCCTAGGATCTGGTACACATCTTTTTGAATGCCCCGAGTCTTTTCCTTCTTGAGTAGCTGAGTGTTCATCAGATTTCAATGCTAAGTGTAAATCTCCTCTGCTTGTGGCTGATTCCAGTGTGTAAGAGTACGTGGCCAGCTTGCTGTGAGAATGCAAATGCAAGAAATAGGACACGCCAGGGGAATAAAAAATACTCAGATGATGTATTCTTGCTCAGAACTGCAAAATGGATGGTCCTTATGACCCCATTGTTTTCATTTCTCATTCCTGGTTTGATGCTTGTGTCAAAGAGTGGCTACTTATTCTTACTGCACAACTTCAGACAGTGCCAATTGCCTAGATATTGCTGCATATTTCATCAGCCATTCCAACTCTCAGTTTTTCCTGGCTCCACTATTGTTGAATGCTATAAAGCATTCAGTTGACAGGGGAAGATTTTCTTTATAAACACTGAGATTTATTTGACCTGGAAGCTGATTGAAGACTTCAGCTGTATATAAAAATGTGAATGCTGTTATTCAAAGGCAAAAGAAAGGCCTTTTAGCCATGCATATATTCCAGCCATACTTGTTCCTATAGAAACACCAGCTTTCCTGTGCTGCTATCATTTCTCATTCATAAATACTTGGCCACAGTAGTCACCAGTTTCGGTTCAAGAGAGTGTTTTTTTGTTTGTTTGTTTTTCAGCACTCTACCTGTCAACTTTATTCAAGCATTTCAGAGGATGTTTTGAGTCTTTGCTCAAGAGAGTAACTTCTTTCGTCTGTAAGGATTAAGCTATTTGTTCATGTTCTGATCTGTTTCTAGGATCCTGTGCACAAATGCCAGCCCTCTCTTCAGAGATCCAGGGAGATCATTTTGAATATCCAGTATCTTCACCACTCTGGAGAGCTTCTGGAGATTTCTCCTGCCCACTTCTGCACAGTGCTTACCCCCTTCATAGTTATTGCTTTGGCTTAGGAGAATGATTGCTTATGAGAGATCCTGCTTTCTAAACAATTTGTTTTAAGACACGCTCAGAAGCTTTGCAGGCGATCTCAAACAAGTTTCCAGTGAGGTCAGGAAACCATACTACATAGGGTTTAAGAACTGATGTAAAGTCTTGGCAGAGGGGCATACTAATTGATACTACATGTTAAATATTCTTCGTCTTTTTATTTGGAGAGGATATTGTTCATCAGGAAGATAGTTTTGCTTTTCTGTCTTTCATGGGAAGTGCTGGAATATGGATATCTCTGAATATCATCACAACTGAACCTCTCACAGCATAGCAAAAGTGAAAGTACCTGACAGGATTCAAGCACACTCTGCAAAGATGCAAATCACCACTGTGTCACTTCAGAGGACTGCTCCTGTTTCTGAGACTTTATAGAGCTGTGTCTTGAAGATGTGTTAACTTTTGTTGAATATTTTATTGTACCTGAGGTGGGTGGTTGATTTTCACAAGGTAGTCACACTCTCAGGTACAGATGACCCATGTGAATGAGTGGTGTTTGGAGTCAGACCCCTGCAGATTGAGTGAATGCACGGACAGTCATTTGAAGAAGAAAATGGTTTTTGAAAGTAATGGAGTTCCTATAAAGTACACAAATAATGTGGCTGGAGTTCTTTGCTGCTTTATTTTAATAAGAATCAAGTAATAAAAGGAGATTACTGAGTTTTGAGAGGAAGTGACAGCGGAGTATCCATTCACTTGGGTGTTCAGGGGCCAGGGTAAGGAGGCTCCTGTTGGAGACTGAGGGGTCTGTGCAATGGCTACACTCACAGCTGTGATAAACTTTTCCTAGAAAGTTTTTCTTAAACTTTTTTTGTTTTGTTTTGTTTTTTTTTTAAAAGAACTTTAGTTACAAGAAAATTGCTGTCTTTATATTCTTTCTTTATCCATGTTTATGGATTTAATTCAGTCCTGTCAATGAAGAGGTTGGCAGTCTTTGACTCATTCAAAGTTTGAAGTCACAAATTGCAGTTTTGAGGATTATTAATGATGATCTTTCAGAAAAGTGTCAACCACCTTTTCAGTAGGCTATATTAAAATGTCTTGGTATTTTCAATATGTAGGACAAAATGAAATGCTCATGTCATTAACTCATCCTTTTTTGTTTTGTTTTCTGTTTCAAAAAGAAAGTGGCTTGAAAGAACAGCTAAAACACAATGCTCATATTTTATGACCTGTTATTTATATCTGTGATGTTTATGAACTGAAGTCAATCAAAAGTTATTTTTTTAAACTAAAATATTTTCTGCTTGTCAAGAGCTTGGTGTAAACACCAAGGGGAAAAAAAAAAAAGTGTTTTGCAGAAAGCTCAGAGAGGAAATGTAAAAAGAAATCTGAACTGGGGTGAAGTAAGAGCTGGATAGTGCAAAAATGATTCACTTCTAACAGAAGAACTAAATTTGCTAATATTTAAATCTATTTGAAATAAGCAGTCTATGTAAGCTTTTGCTTGCTATTGTCTTTTTTTGAGGAAAAATTAGATTCTTGTGCTACTGAATTTCTTTCTCAAAGTTTTGTAGACACTGGTTGACCTTGGGAGCTGATGTTTACAAACTTTAGATCATACATTACAGAGTGTGCACCACTCTTCACGCTGAAGTGTGCAGACTTCTGCCACTCTATCTTCATCCTCTGATAACTGATCTATTCATGTGAACATAGTCATTCTGTTTCGTGACATCTGTTGAAGAGAAATGTTTATAGGCTCTTCCATATCTTACCTATTGGAAGACTACTTAATTACATTTCCATAAAGTACCTGCCTTAAACTTATACTTTTCTTTTACAGTTTGGAAGAACAGAAGTAATTGATAATACTTTAAATCCAGATTTTGTAAGAAAATTTATAATGGACTACTTCTTTGAAGAAAGAGAGAATCTTCGATTTGATTTGTAAGTTAACAATCTTTGACTCTAATATTAAAATCTCTGTAAACATACTAAGATTTGTAAAGCACAAAATTAGTTTGAAAAGAGATAGTATCTGTTGACATGGAACAAATTAGTAAACATGATTGATTTAGCATTGCTTCTTCAGAAATAAACATGTAACATAATTTTAAGACTTAATTTTAAGAAATCGCTAGGTGTTAACTAGTCAAAATGTAATCATACAATCATTGCTTTTAGAAAATAGTTTGAAATATTTTTCATTTAGTGCATCTTTATCTTGTAGACAGCAAACCAGAAGGACAATTGCTTCTTTATTTGCCTAAAGTCTCTTAGCAAGTTCGTGGCAAAGCCATCTTTAAATCTTCTAGGCTTTAGTCTGAATGTACCATTTACTTATCCAAGTAGTTGCTTCAAACTGACTCTTACAGTCTCTTTGATTTTTTTTTCCAGAGTTTCTGGAATGCAAATCAATCGTTATTTTAGGCAGGGCATAAAATAAATACAGCAATGATTGCATTATTGTTGATTTTTCCTGTAGTAAAAAAAGGTATGGTGCCTGATAAATAGACATTAGCGAAGTTAATAAATTTATCTGTGTTCTTGCTGATTCTTTTTTAAGTTGCTAGCAAGGGGAACTAAAATAGTCTTGAATAGCCTCATCTCCCGTATCATAAAAACAAAAAAGAAATCATGTTTAATTTTTCTTTAGCTTTATCAGTCTTCTATAGCACATCACAGTGCTACCTAAGTTAACAAGAAGTGTTGGAAGGATGAGTAAGGGGAAAAAAATTCCATTGTATTAAATACACAGATACCAGCTACCTGTTTCACCATGAGAGCATGTTGCAGATATGTTTCTTATTTTTCCATTTTTTTTTGAATTCGGATGTGATGTCATTAAGTCTGCTGAGTATAACTATTTCCTGACATTTACAATAACTTTAAGTAAGAGCTTGTCACTTTGCAAAATAAAGGTTTCCCCCTAGAAGCATAGGTGATGCATTTCTGAAACGAAGAAACAGCTGGGACCACGTAGGAATCTTATTTTGTGTATCTGTTGCTCCTCATAGGCTGCATGTATGTTATGGGAGGAGAAGGTCCAATAGAAGTGAAGACCAAAAGAAATGACCAAGGAATAGAAAGCTAGGCTCAGTCTAGGCAAAGAAAGGGAAATCTGTAAAGAACTTTTGGATAAGTGTGATCTGAAAAAGGACTTGAACCTGAGAGGGGAAAATCAATCTCCTGTTTGATCCCATTTGTTTATTTTTAAAAAGGTGTAAACATCATACTCTGTACTTAACAGAAAGACCTGACTTTTCTACTGTTGTTCCAGATCACCTTGTGACTACAAGTCTATTCTGAACTCACAGCTGAATGACAGTTTTAAATGCTTGCCTGCCATATAGCCTGAGTCTGTGAATTCTCTTCAAAGTCCTATAACTCTGATAGATTGGAAATGAATTATTTTAGAATTCTGAGCTAAAAATATGACTCATGTAACTAATCATGGATTAAAACTTAGATCAAGAAAGAAACATCTTTAAAAAGCTTACTTTTTAAATTCCTCAGCAAAATTGTGTATGTACTCCAGTTGGCCAAAGTGTTATTTTTGAAGGAGTGAAAGTTCTGATTGGTTTAAATTTCTGGCAACAAAATAAAAAGGCAGGCATATCTCTGATTCTTTGTTTTACAAGGTACTCATAAATGACCATGTGCACCTACATACATTTTATAGCCACCAATGTTTCAGCCTTTTTCCTGTTCATATTTTATAATTTCTTCCTAATTTTGCCAGTGAAGTAGTTTTTTGTTTCATTAGTGTATCTAGCCTTCAGAGTCAAGTTACCTTTTTTTCTTTTTCCTCTTTTCAATTTCACCAGATACTGTGCAGTTATTTTTATTATTATTTAACTCATCTGTTAGTGGTTTCTGCAGTCATTCTTTACAAATGTGTCTGAAACTTTGGCTGTGCTGCACCACACTCTGCTTCCCATCCTCCTAATTTCTGATCTGGTCCACAGAGCATCATCCATGCGCACAACCAGTTGTGGCAGCACAAACAAACGGGTTTCCATACCACAATGTGGGAATGGAAATGTGCAGTTAGAAGCTGAGATGGGGATTGGAATAATTCTTCAATTCCATTACTTGTATTGAATCGAATGTATAATTTGATAAAAATAATACTGGGGATTTTCTGATAAGGGTGGAAGACTGATAGTGTAGGGATTAGTACTACCATAAGGATTCTTGTATTACATATTTTTAAATTTATCTCAAATTCACAGA